CTTTCCTTTCCTTTCCTTTCCTTTCCTTTCCTTTCCTTTCCTTTCCTTTCCTTTCCTTTCCTTTCCATTCCTTTCCTCTCTCTCTCTCTCTCTCTTTCTCTCTCTCTCTCTCTTTCTTTCTTTCATTCTTCTTTTTTCTAATTTTGTGGAAGACTTGGTGTTGGAAGTTCTTTATTGAAGGACTTTATGAAAGTTCTTGGTGTTGTATTCCCAGCCAGCCTTGAATTTAAGATCTTCTTGCCTCAGCCTCCAAAGGCCTGGGATTACGAAAAGTACATCATGGGCATGATGATGCATGCCTGTTATCCCAGTACTGGGGAGGCTGAGGCAGGAGGATCACGTCAGTTTGAGGCCAGGCTGTACCACAAAGTGAGACTCTGTCTCCAAAAACAAACAAACAAATAAATAAATAAATAGCTGCAAAAATGAATCTCATTTGTGAACATAACCAAAAGACGTGAAAAAAATTTAATAGAATTGGACAGTCAAAAGGAAGCACAGTTAGAGCAGGGCATGGTGGCATGTGGCTGTAATCCCAGCACTCAGGAGACTGAGGCAGAAGGATTGTCACGAGTTCCAGGCTAGCCCAGGCCACCAGGTAAGTTCAAAGCCAGCCTGGAATACATAGAGAGGTTCTGTCTCAAAAAACAAATGCCTTACATGGTTTATATGTTTTTTGGTCTGTTAGTCTAGCTCTTAATATATACTAATGGTAATTGACTTGATAAGAACATAAAATAAATAAATGAATCTGTTAGTAACACAAAGAATTTTTAAAAACAAGGATGGAGAGGAAAGGAAAGCAAGAGAACTGAGATGTTGTGTACATATACCAATTCCCCACAGTGAATGTAATTATTATGTACTGCACACTGTCCTAATAAAAATAAAATTTAAAAGAGAATTAGTGCCATAGTACAGTTTTAAAGAAGTCATTTTTAATTAGAAAGGTGTAGTGATGGTGGAGTAGTGTGGCAAGGGCCTATCATCGCTTGGGAAGCTGGCAGGAAGGTGGCAAGTTCTAGTCCTGCCTGGGCAATTTTTCAAGACTTTGTATCAGAATAGAAATGTGTGTTGGGGATGTAGTTTAGTAGTAGAGCTCAATTCCCAGTACTGTAAATTTTTTTAAATTTATAAATAAATAAATTAGGTTAGTGATGTAATAGATTGGTAAGTACTTTTTTCCTAAAAGTAAAAACAGTTGTAACAGTGTCCTGAAATTGCAGATTAATTTCTGTTCTACATTTCACTATATACTATTGTTGTATCAGTGTTGAACAATTTGCATTAGTTAGCTACTTTTTAGCCATGAATAATTGAGATTGTTAGTAGGCCTCTCAGGGCATTTCTGAGCTACCTTTCTCCATTATCTATTATTATTCTTTGATAAAACAGACTAAATTTAGGTTAAATAGCAAATATAATGAGAGACCAAATTTGTATTTTAAAAAAGAGGTATTCAATAGGACATGGTGGCACATGCTTGTAATTCCAGCATTTGGGGAGGCTGATACAGTAGGATACCAAGTTCCAGCCCTGCCTGGGAAATTTAGTGACTTAGAACAACCTGTTTCAAAATAAAAAATAAAAGGGCTGCAAATGTAGCTCAGTGCAAAAACCCTGGGTTCATTCCTCAGTAGCACACACACAGAATTCTAGAAACACATGTGTTGGTCTCCATTTTTATCAGTGCACCATCAGCATAGAAAGTAACCATGGGAAAATAGATGAAGTTAATAATAATGCATACACCTCTCCTACCTTGTCTCCCCTCTGTGTACTTTGTGTTATTCTGGCAGGAATCTGTACTACTTCATACCTGTGATCTTCATTTATTTCAGTTGCTTTTATTTCTGTAGGCACTGGTAGGTGATAAGACATTGGCATTTTGGTTGATGGATGCTGAAATGTATACAAACATGAGTGTTCTAGCTCCTTTTACTCCAGTTATTGATCGTGGAATACAGCTTCATAAAATGATTCGACTTATTACTCATGCTCTCGGTGGAGAAGGCTATCTCAATTTCATGGGTGAGTGTGAGTTAAGCACATATCTAATCAATTTAAAATGTTAACTAACACAAATGACATAAATCATGTAGAATATTTTGACTTGGCTTTTCAGATTTAAAATATAAAGTCTTTATTTCTCTAATACACTATCATACGTAAACTGCAAAATTAAACTATTGTAGGATTATTGTTATAATAATAACATGATGCAAAAGCATACTCTAAAAGCTAGCATCTTATTGAATATTGCTTGAAACATGGATGCTGAACTGCTTTTTTAAAATCTGAAGTTACTGTTATCCTGAATTTAATCATCCTGAGTTTTATTATTGTCACATTGTAGATAAAACATAAGAAAAATGTAGTTGTCATGTAGTTACATATTAAGTAAATATTATTGGTCTTCTTCAAGGTAATTGTACAACAGGAAACTTGTGTTGTAAATGTGAAAGCCAGTACTTAGGGATATTGTGATGCGCAAAATATTATTTATATTTATAAATAGAAAACAAGGTCAATTTGAAGGTCACTTAATATCTGACAGATGTTTAGTGGTAAAATATAAAAATTAACTATATAGTGTTTCTGTTCTATTTGGTCAACAACAAACATTTGAAGATTTGTGTTTTAGGAAATCTTACCTATTTTTAGGCTAGACAAAAGCAGAAAGACTGAAAAATATATACAAAAGAATGACTTTTTTCTAAGATAAAAACTTTAGAACTGTATTCATTTCTATATGAAAGTTTTAATATGAAGTCTCAGATTGGATTTTTGTGATCTTCTTGTTTACTCAGTGTAAATTAGGAAGAAGAGTCCAAGAAACCATTTCTTGGATGTCACTCATGCTAGCAATACCTTCTCTTCTCAGAGTCACCAAATTCCTTAACATTCTTTGCCCACTAGGAAATGTTTGCCCTGACCTGTGTGGTTGCACCCTGTAAGCAAGGCCAAAGGCCAGGTTTCCCGGGGCAACTTTGCAGCAGTGGATCCATAAACAAATTAACCTTAGTTCCTTAAAACCAACTGGTCCCACCTAAGCATTATTCTCTAATATGACCATCTCAGTAACCAGTGGTTACACAAGAAGTTCATTCATCTATATTTTGATGTAAAGTTTGAGTCTCTGACCCTATCCAAATAAGTTCGTTGACATGTAAAATAAGAAGACTTGGTGGTGAGGATTAGTGGGAGATTTCAAATGATTTATTTCATTTATGAAAGTATAATTTGTTAAATTTTCATAGGCTGTGGAAAGGCTTTCCTTATATATCTAGAAATTAAAACAGTTTTTTTCAAAGATTCAAAATAAAATAGATGTCTGTATCCCTGATGGCAGTCTTATATCATTAATTCTTTTAAAGCCCATTGTATCTGAAAATTAGAAGTCCTGACTCAGTCTACTATTTTATCCTGGAAGTTGTATAATTGACATCAGTTTACCCTTGCAAGTAGTGTCAAGATTTGGAGATATAACAAAGTCCTTTTCCCGAGGCTGGTCTCTGTTGAAGACATGAACTCTGGCCTTTGGTGCAGAGCAGAGCCTTCAGGAAATCATCAGAGACTTAATGGCCATGTTTAATTTAAAATTACTAACTTTAAGAAAGGTCTGATAAAAGTTCATAATGTCACCTATTTCCTGGGTCTTAGTCAGTGGTTTTCCTGAGGGTAGAAGCGTCTCTTTGAGAGGTAAAAAACTGACTAATATCCAGGAACTTCAGAAACTTTCTGAGATTTATATAACACTTTATATATAAAGTGATATATATATTATTTATATTTATCACTGTGTATAGTTATATATAGTTATATATCATATATATACATACTGTACATTTATACAGATTTATATGATACACACACACACACACATATATAAAATCTCCAACCTAGGGTAGGCTGTGTCTGTTATGTTTTAGAAGCTCTTCTCATGTAACTTTTCAGTAGTGACTAAAGAAAAATAATTATTCCTGACATCTATCTGAAAATAGATGAATTGACTCTATTTGTGGTATCATATACAATTTTGAAGTTATTCTTTGCTTTACGGCTAAGAGATATTTTGTACTTTTATACTTACTTTTTGTCTTTAAGACAAATGGTTTCTAACCCTTTTACAGCCTTTAATTTTTTTTCTCATCTAAATCTAACATTTCTCCAACTTTGAAGTCAATAATCTTCTAATCACTATATAATTTTTGAATATTGGTGTTATTTAATGAAACATAATGCTTGCCCATAGGCTGTCATGGCTGTAAATGTCTGTTTCCCTGTTTTCTGATCATGTCACTGTCTTGCTAAAAGTCTTTAGTAAATACTGTGCCATGCAGCTGAACTTTCAGCCTTCACGGAAGCTCTCCCATGGGGCTACCCAGTGATGGCTTAGCTCCAGCCAAGCAAGCTGGCTTTCGGTTTAGCCAGTGTGCCAGTTTCCTTGCTCTCTGAACTCTCTCAGCTTGTGTTGCCACCTTCTTCCTCAGCCTGGAATCGTCCCACTCAGCATCTGCTGACCTGACCAAATCTCTTGTCTTCAAACCTCATTTGCTAGGGAGGCCTGTCCTAAAGCCTCATATGAGGCTTGTGTTTCCTGTTATCGTTTTTATATTACCTCTACTTACTTTATGGGATTAAGAAAATCACTTTTGAAAAACTCTTAAATGTATGACTTCCTTGGTAAATATAATACTGAGTGAAAATAGGGATCATCTGTTTCATATTCACTTTTATATCTCCAAGAACTACCATGGTACAAAGCTGTCATGATTTTCTTAAAAGGGCACCATATGTGTTTATGGGGGGGGGTATTACCTTGTAATCTTTTTAGCATGTATTCATTATCTACAATTACCAGTTGTAGTTTTAAGCAAAGTAATTTTTTCAAGTAGCATATAAGAAATTAATACTTAAATTTTGTATAATTCCATTTTTTAAAAATCTTGACTCATGGTGCATTATTTAATATAAAAGTTCCTCTAAAGTATTAAATTTATTTCTGGTTTAAAATGTAAGAAAAGGTATGTTTTTGTAAAAAATCAGTGTTTTCCCATTTTATAGTATGTAATAAATTAAGCCATTTTCTGCAGTTTTATCAAGAATAAATATTACTTATTTCTTTTTTATTCTCAATATTATCTATTCAATATTGCTGCTAAAACAACCTTAACTTTTATGTGTGCGAGGTCGAAGTTTTTTTTCATTTCTCAAAGAAAATAACGACAGCATATTTGTGACTGTTGTGTAATTTGTATTACACATATAACATCAAGACAGATTTAATATGTTTTCTGGTGTATCTGAGCACAGACTTTCTATACACATATACACACATATGTGCGCATGCACACATACGGAGAAAGATAGGAGTGGGGAGGGAGGATGGAAAGAGAGAAGTTAGAGTCACCCTTAAGGCAAGTTCAACTTAATACACTAATGAGTTTGAGGGCCTGGGATTTAGCTCAGTGGTTCTGGCTCCTGCCTCGCAAGTGCAAGGTCCCAAGTTTGATCCCCGGTACCAAAAAAAAAAAATGAGTTTGAGATATATATATATATATATATATATATATCAATTTTAACTATAAATTTACTTTATTCATTGCACATTCTATGATGTGTTTTAATACAATTTATAAAATTCTTCATCTTACAGACATTTTTATGTATCTACTGTGTACCAGGAATTTGTAAGTGATATATTCAAAGCTGAAAAATGGTTCTTGCCTTCAGGCTCTTGAAACTCATGAGAAAATACAGATTGGTAATCTGCCAGTATGTTTATATTTGTGTATGCTCTAGTTGCAGTGTCAGAAGTAAGCAGAGGTTGTAAATGTGTAGGGAACTGGGCTCTGAGATTATTGGTGGAATTAATGAGCTGCTTCAACCAGACCAATTTGGAATAGCCTTGCAGTGAGATCAACAAAACTCAGAGTATAGCTGAAGTAGTGTAATGATAATGTAAGATTTAAATCAGTTGAGAATATTAAACACCAAATAAGTGAAAAACGCAGCCTAAAGATATTATTTTAGAGGTAATTTGCTTATTGGCAAGCTTTGTTTTGTTTTGCTTTTTGTAGTACTGGGGATTGAATCTAGGGCAGAGCCTTCACATTGAGATACATCCCCAGCCACAGTTTTTATTTTGAGACATGGTCTCACTAAGTCACTAAATTGATTGGGCTGGGCACGAATTTATAATACTCCTGCCTCAGCCTTCCAGAGTGCTGGGATTACAAGCCTTCAACACCACTCCTGTCAGTTTATTGGCAAGTTTAAAGAAAAAGCTATGCTTTTTTTTCAATCCGTTTAAAGTATTGTGAACTCTTTGGTAAGAAAGACTGGATACTAAAGGTTGACTGGCTTTATAGTTTTTTTTTTTTTCTCATAACTGAAAGGGCAGGATTTAGACAAACAAAACTTGTTAATATTGATAATCTATAAGAATATCCTGATTTATTTTTTATAATCATTGGATAAGTATTTTTGGTGGTTAAAAATAAGAATCAATTGAAAAACACCTGCTCACATATAAAATGACCTCAGTGAACATGTTATTTGTGTGCACATAAAGCAAAAAACCAATTAAGAGGAGAGAAAAATAAAGATAAGAATGTATATTAAATAAGCATAGTGGTTCACATCTATAATCCCAGCTACTCAGGAGGCTGAGCAGGAGAATTCCAGCTTGAAATCAGTCTGGCAACAGTAAGATCTCCTCAACAATAGTAACAACAACAAAAGTTTTAAGTATTGCAATAATAACAACAGTGATAATAGTAATAACAACAGTGATAATATTAATAACAACAGCAAAAGTTTAAGTGCTAGTGAGTATCTGGTTATCATGGAATGATATCCTTTCCTAATCCAAACAGTGGAGGCAGAGAGAGTAGAATTGGGTGGCCTCATCATGTGACAGCTCAGGAATTGATGTAAAGAGTTGTGAGTAGGTAAGTAAATTGTCTACTATGTGTATTGATCATACTATCAGGAATAACACCACCAATACCAATGCTGCACTACTA